TGCCCTATTTTATAAAATAATACAGGATATAAAAAAGAGTGCAATGGTGGGGCTGCTGCTCTCCTTCCCCTCCTGCAGCAATGACAAGGCTTGCTTGTCCCCTCCACACTTCACGTCCACCCCATCAAAACAGAACTGGTGTTTGGATTCTGACCTTCTAGGCAGGCTTTAACTGCAGCTTCTGTTGTGTACACTGGAGGTTACCTCAGACTCTCGAGATGGGGTCTGGAACTGAAATACAAATAAACAGAAACAGATGTCAGAGACAAAGGCCCAGAGAGAGACAAGGCTGAGGAGCAGCACAGTAAGACCTTGGCCCAGGGCATGGCACGGCCCCCATCCTTGCCTAGGAAGCTGGAAGGGCTGAGGCCCAGAGGGCAGGCCCTGACACCCGTGCTGGCCTTGCACTCTGCTCCAGTGGCCAAGGACAAATGACCTCCTCTTCCGCTGGTTGGGGAAGCCGTTTGGCTAGAAGAGCAGCAGCTCAGACCTACTGACGTCCGATTGCATTAGAAGCAATGGATCATTTCCTCGTGGGCCATTTAGTCTTCAGCTATGCTTGTGCAGGACCACCTGAGCAGCTCTTCTTGAAAGAGGGGCGACTATCTCCATTTTGACTGAGCCTGACCCTATTTCCTATGCACAGAGCTGGCTAGGACTTCTGTTTACAATTGGCCTTAGGTAAATGTAGGCCACCCACCTAGCTCAGCCCACAATGATCACCTACTTCCCACAATTCTCAGTCAATCCTCCTCAAGCCACTCCCCTACTGAATAAAAACCAGGTGAGGCCCTGGGTCGCCCTCTCTGGGTTCCAGAAAGCCATCTTCGTGGCTGGACTTAGAACCCTTTGGCTCCCTGATGATTGAAAATATAACTTAGTGCCTTTATTTTCGCCATGGGTTGCATTGTAAGTGGTAGAACTTTGGGATTATAAATATTGGCTTCTTGGACTGAGACAAGGTCCTGGAAGTGACTCCCATGATACTTATCCAGGTGGCCCAGTTCTCCGAGCTATCCACTCATGTCATCCTACTGAATATTTCACGTCAGAGCAGTTGGCTCTCTGGCATGTCTGCTGTAGACATGTCTGCAGTCTTCTGAGTGCTCAGTAGACAGTTTCTAGGGGAGACCTGACATACAGGGGCAGATGAGTCTTTGCCCCCCAAAGTTCCTTGAACATCTTTGCCAATGATAGTGGTCAGATTAGAAATTTTGACAAAATTAGAGACTTTCTAACTATTTAAAATGTCAAAGTACTAATTATTATAATTTTCTTATTGTGACACTGGCTCTCACTGCAGCCCAGGGTGGCCTTGAATTTGCAGCCATCCTCCTGCCTCAGCCTCCTAAGCGCTGGGATTCCAGACATGTGCCAGGTGTACCAATGCAATTGTTAAGGCTTTTTTTTTTGCAGGGCTAGAACTGGGGATTGAAGTCAGGCCCTTGCACTTGCCAGGCAAGTACTTTTTCTACTGAGCCATCTGCCAGCCCAAAAGAACTCTTCTACATTGTTGGTTTTTTGTTTTTTTTTTTTTTTTTTTTTGTGGAACCAGGGATTGAAATCAGGCCCCTGTGCTTGCCAGGCATGCGCTTATTCCACTGAACCATCTCCCTGGCCCCCTATTAATGCATATTGGGTTTCCTCTTTAAACCTGACTAATTGTTTTTCTCTACTTTTTGAAAGCTCTCTAATCTAAGAACTGAACATCGGCTTTGAGTTTGTGTTTAATGCCTCCATTTTCCATGTGAAAAAATGGAGACAAAGAGATGTTCAGTTTTCAGCTTCAAAGGTGACAGCTATTTAGTGGCAGAACTTGAATTTGGGGCTCATTATACAAACTGCAAACACAGGAAGTATACAGTCCATTGATATTAACAAATGCAGCCTAAGTTACAAGACTGAGATGTACACAAAAAAACAAGTCAGTTTGTACCATCCATGAATATTAACTATCCTTTCATTGAACAGGCATAATGTGCCTGGTACAACGCTAGACACATGGACTACAAGGAAAACTAACACATGCTTTTGGCCCTATTTATTTATTTAGTGGAACTGGGGGTTGAACTCAGGCCCTTGTGCTTTGCCAGGGAAGCGCTTACTCTACTGAGCCATCTTCCTGGCCCTTTAATTTTTATTTGTTTATTTTGAGACAAGGTCCCATTGAGTAGTTCCTGATGGCCTTGAGCTCACTATGTAGCCTAGGTTAGCCCTGGATTCATGGCCATCACCCTGCCTCAGCCTCCCAAGTGCTGGGATTACAGGCATGCACCACCATGCCTGGCTTTTGCCCTATTTTATTTTATTTTATTTATTTATTTATTTATTTTGCAGAACTGGGGATTGAACTCAGATCCTTGCGTTTGCCAGTCAAGTGCTTATCCTACTGAGCCAACTCTCTGGCCCTGCCCTATTTTATAAAATAATACAGGATATAAAATTTTATATATATATATATATATATATATATATATATATATTTAGTACAGGGTCTCACTATGTAGATCAGACTCCCAGTGATTCTCCTGTTTTCAGCCTCTCATGCGCTAGGATTTCAGCCACGCACACCCCGCCACGCCCAGTCTCAATCGCCATCTCCCTTGAAGAGAATTTGATACACACCATGAGATGATCCAAATTAAATACTTTTTAGTTCTGTTTTGTTGGAAGCAGATGAGACTGTGACTCTACAGGTTTTTTATTGAAAGCCTCCCACTCTAGATGAATGACACAGCAAGGCTCTGGTGCTCATGGCCTCAGGACTGTGAGTAGAGGACAGGAGCAGAGGAAGAGGCTGAAGAGATGGCTTAATTTTGATATGCATCTGCAGCCCTGTCTTCCAGATTAGACTGTCCTCCAGATTACAGCTTTACAGACATCCTGCTTGGCTGATGAGTGAATATCCTTGTTTTGTAAGATGTACCACTTTCATGCACACGTGTATTATTTTTTTAACTATCTTATAATTTGTATAACTCACATTTATTTATTTAGTGGAACCAGGGATTGAACTCAGGCCCTTGCACTTGCCCCTACAGCTTACTTTTAGAGGGGAAACACTAAACAACAAAAAAGACTTCCCTTCCTCAGTCCACCTCTGCAGTTTTACAGCTAAGGAAATGGACTCGCTCCAAACTCCACTGTTCCCGGCACAGTTCAGGCTCTACAACTCTTGGTCTGGGGCTGTGTGTGCTTTGAGGTTGCAAATTTACTCAGAGGTGGGCAAAGGACACGAGATGGGGGCAACTAATGTGTGACCTGCGCTCCTTTGCTTTGTTTGCTCTGCTCTTAGGCTGGGTCTGCACTAGGCAGGAGCTGAGTAGTTGGCCTTCAGCTGGGAAAAGCATGAACCACAGCCAGGCGGCTTGCAACTCCGGGTGGAGAAGATTTAGAGGAGCTTGGAGCCCACCCTTTAGTGAGACCCTGTCTCAGAAACAAAGTGTGTGGCCAGGGGAGGTAGCTCAGTAGAATAAACCTTTGTTTCGCAAACACAAGGTCCTGAGTTCAATGCCAGGTACCGCAAAAAGAAAAAAAAAAGCGTGGGCGTGGTGATGCACACCTGGGGAGGCTGAGGCTGGAAGCTGGCTGTGAACTGGCCGGCCTGGGCTACACTGTGAGCTCAAAGTCAGGCTGAACTGAATGGCCATAGTTTCTCAACGTTCCCCAACCCCCTGCAAAGGGAAAAAACCACCACCACAACAACAAAAATAGAAGGGCCAAGAATGTAGCTCTAAGCAAACCGAAAGTGTAGAGTTCCACTCCTAGTACAGGTGAAAG